TCACTTAAAGCACCGGCTCTTCCCATCTAGAGAGACGACTTCTCGGGGCAGGACTGATCTGAGGACAGTCATTGTCGCCAGGAAGGCCGCGTCGAAAAAGTCCTGACGGGCTGAACGTCAGGACTCTGAGGGTGGTCCCCATCGGGAGAGACTTGAGTTCACCGCACAAGAACACGGTGCCCTGTCTTTCCCGATGCCCTCAGGGGTCTGTTCTACTAACCCTGCCTACACAGGGCGTAGAGAGACTCGGCGAGCGATTTCCCGAGGGACGCTCGCTCCCTCCGAGGAGGGTTGTGGAGTGTTCAGACCAGCTGTTTCCTGCCAGTATGTTACAGGGCGCTGTGTCTGTCACTCGGGATGTTCATCCAGAGGCCAGCCTCGAGAGGCTGGTTCCCTTAGTAGAGTTCCTGGTGGTTAATTCTAGCTCAATCGGAACATCAGGCGGTTCGGCATCGAGATGTCGTTCTTGCTCACATCAAGAGGTTGGGGTTGAGACTCAACGCCAAGAAGAGTGTTCTTTCTCCATTACAGAGAACCACTTTTCTCGGTGTAGTGTGGGATTCGACGACGATGCAGGCACAATTGTCACCTGCTCGTGTTGCTTCGATTCTCGCCGCAGTACATCAAGTCAAGCTAGGCCGGTCATCCACTGTAAAACAGTTCCAGAGACTGTTGGGTCTCATGGCGGCTGCGTCCAACGTGATACCTTTTGGCCTCCTGCACATGAGACCGTTACAGTGGTGGCTCAGAACCAGAGGATTCTCCCCGAGGGGAAATCCGCTTCGCATGATCATGAGTTCGCAACGGTGTCATCGCGCCCTGGTTATGTGGAAAGATCCTTGGTTTCTGTCCCAAGGCCCTGCGTTGGGAGCTCCTTGTCGTCGCGTAATGCTAACGACAGATGCTTCTCTCACGGGTTGGGGGGCGATCATGAGCGGTCGCCCCGCTCAGGGTCTGTGGGAGGACCATCACCGTCTATGGCACATAAATTGTCTAGAGATGTTGGCAGTGTTTCAGGCCCTGAAACATTTCCTCCCGGACCTAAGAGGCCACCATGTTCTTGTCCGGACAGACAACACATCGGTGGTCTCCTATATCAACCACCAGGGGGGTCTGCGTTCTCGCCCGCTTTACAGGCTGGCACGTCAGATCCTTCTGTGGTCCCAGGGGAAAATTCTCTCTCTCAGAGCTATTTATCTCCCGGGGTATTTGAATCAGGAGGCAGACATCCTGTCGAGGCAGGGGCCGAGGCCCGGGGAGTGGAGTCTTCACCCCGAGGTGGTGGAGCTCCTATGGGGACATTTCGGTCGTGCCGAGGTAGACCTATTTGCGTCCCGAGAGACATCACACTGTCCACTGTGGTTCTCTCTCAGCCAGCCAGCCCCAGTGGGGCTGGCTGGCTGAGAGAGAGCCACGCCTGTACGCTTTTCCCCCGATCGCTCTGCTCCCGGGAGTTCTGGAGAGGGTTCGCCGGGACGGGCTCAGTCTCCTGCTTATAGCCCCGTTCTGGCCGGCCAGAGTATGGTTTTCGGACCTAGTATCTCTCCTCGACGGCTCTCCCCTAGAGATACCGATCAGGAGAGATCTGCTCTCTCAGGCGAGTGGGTCGATCCTTCACCCCCGTCCAGAGCTATGGAGGCTGTGGGCTTGGCCCCTGAGGGGGCCCAGCTCATAGATTCTGGTCTCTCGGCTGAGGTCGTTGGGAACCATCCTCCAATCCAGAGCTCCCTCCACGAGGAAGTTATATGCCCGCGAGGTGGGAAACTTTTCACCTCTTGGTGTGGAGAGCGCCAGCAGGACCCAGTCAACTGCCCGGTTGGTACAGTGCTGGATTTTCTGCAGGACCGTCTCTCCACAGGGTTATCCCACTCCACACTGAAGGTGTATGTGGCGGCCTTAGCTGCTTACCACGCCCCTTCAAGTGGAGGTTCCCTTGGGAGACACCCACTTATATCTCGCTTCCTTCGTGGCACCCTGAGGCTGAGGCCTGCAGTTCGCACGAGGGTACCAGCTTGGGATCTGGCCATCGCATTAGGAGGTCTCTCCCTTGCTCCTTTCGAGCCCATCGAGGAAGTTTCGGAAAAGTTTCTTACTCTTAAGACTATCCTTCTTCTTGCTATTTCATCTCTAAAAAGGATTGGTGATATTCAAACACTTTCGGTGGCTCCCTCGTGTCTGGAATTTGCCCCTGGTATGGTTAAGGCCTTTCTCTGTCCGAGACCAGGTTATGTTCCTAAGGTGCCAACCAATTTGGTTGGACCTATAGCTCTGCAGGCTTTCTGTCCTCCGCCTTTTCTGACGTCAGACCAGAGGAAACTTAATTTGCTGTGCCCTGTTAGGGCTTTAGATGCGTATGTCCACAGAGCTTCTCTGTGGAGGAGATCGGAACAACTGTTCGTCTGTTTTGGGTCACCTAAGAAAGGGTGTCCTGCATCTAAGCAAAGGATGAGCAAGTGGGTGGTCGAGGCCATCTCGCTTGCTTACGGTTCGGCCCATCAGCCTTCACCTTTGACTGTAAGGGCTCATTCCACCAGGAGTATGGCGGCCTCTACAGCTCTTCTTTCAGGAGTTTCTCTTCAGGACGTTTGTGATGCGGCAGGCTGGTCCTCACCGCACACTTTCGTCAGATTTTATTCCCTTGACCTTAGCTCCACCCCAGGGGCTCAGGTTCTCTCGTCGGTTTGTGTCTCCTGATGACACACGACGGGGATTTGGTCGTATGGGGATGTGGGTATTGCGTTCCCACTGCGATTACACGCAGCGGTAGTCCCTGAAGGGGAACGTCTGGGTTACGTATGTAACCCTAGTTCCCCGAAGGGACGGACGCTGCGTGTCCTGCCATACTCTCGGCATCCCCTTGGGTCGCTGCTTCAGTAACTTTTAAGCTGGCGTGTTGTGTGCTCAGGGGATATTTATAGCTTCCTGGTCGATGACGTCACTCGCCGTACGCTCTTTCTCTCCATTGGCTGATTTCATTCATGCTTCAGACGCGTCACGCTGAGGGCGTTCCCACTGCGATTACACGCAGAGTCCGTCCCTTCGGGGAACTAGGGTTACATACGTAACCCAGACGTTTCTTCCCGTCGGCAGTCGGGCTCATCAACAGAGCCCGGTCCCCCACTGCCTGACTATAACACTCCACCGGTCACTCCCCCTCACACTGCACATGCCACTTTAACTGCCATTCATCACTTTGTCACTTGTCACTTTGTCTCTTGTCTGTTACTTGTTTGTTAGTGCACTTTATGCTTAATACTTTTCTTTTTAACTTTTTAATATTTAAAATTTGTTTAACTTTATTCCCTTGTTTTTTTACTAACCCATAGCCTTAGCCTTATTCTTACTAACCCATTGCATTAGCATTTCATTCCACTTTATTTTATTACCTGTGCACTGTTGTCTTGTCTGTCTACTGTCGCGCACTACCCGCTAGACAAATTCCTTGTATGTTTGACATATTTTGGCCAATAAATGTTTCCTGATTCCTGATTCCTGATTTTGCAGTTATTTGTTCATAAAGCAAAGGCCTGGCAGTATTATCAGGAGACATCATCAGGGAACCATGACTTGTCAATTAAACATTTTTTATCAAACCATTCTGTATTCAAACCTGTGTGGAGATACGTCACTGGACCACGTTGGTGGACCAGACTGACAAACATCGCCATCCCCAGTTAAGTTTACTGAGAAACTCTCTCCAATAGTCATTCCGAAGAGAACCAGCACTCGGATCCCTACTACTGTCACCAAGCTGGAACCTACCAGCCCACAAGCACAAGTTATCCCTGGAAAACCGTTTGAAGGTACAGTGTGTGTGTGTGTGTGTGTGTGTGTGTTTGTTTGTGTGTGTGTGTGTGTGTGTGTGTGTATGTGAGTGTGTGTACATTTAAACACACAGTGACTATACACACAAAGGGAGCATAATAGCACCAAATGTTGTGTTTCTGACACCTCGTGATACATCTGCATTTTGCACATGTATAACACGTTACGAGGTGTGAAGTGTTTCAAGAAGTGTGAAGTGTTTCAGGAAGTATACTTATCTTGACTTTATTTTTACACTTTGTGTCTTCCGAATGCAGCGAGTTCTCTCTCTGGTGTTTTCATCGCGCTGCCCGTGCTGCTCACGCTGACAATCGTCATTACTAGTGTCATAGTTTGTAAATACAAATGTTTCAAAGTGCAAGGTATGTTTCACATTCAAATGCAGGCACAGAACCCTGCACCCACAGACAAGTCCATACACGTATACAATAGACGCAAAGTAATTGTGTAACATACTTCATGCGTTTTCCAGGAGCTGGAGCCGACATGAACAGAAATAAAACACAAGCAGACGAAGTTGTGGAAACGATCGAAGAAAATGTAAGAAAACTAAAGTCCAAAGCTTTTCATAATGCATTTAAGAGACTGCAATGTTCATTACAGTCCACATTACATTACTTGGGACATAATGGCATAGTGCAGGTGTAATCATTAGTGTGGTTAGATCGGTCAAATTTGTTTTTATGGTGTTAGCCTACTAATAAAATGCGTATCTTCTACTACAATACTACAATCACGCTAGTACCGGTAAGAAAAGCTTGGGATCAAAATCTGAAAGGAATTTTTCTAGCTTGATGACCAACGTCAACCTGTCCTTAACCTACGTCAACCTAAACTTACTGATTATTCCACCATTTTCATTTGAATAATTGTAGACTTCTCATCACCCATATCTTTTTATTTCTGTTGATCATTTTTAGGTTTATAGACGCAAAGACTCAGCTTCCCCAAGGCAGCCTCCCCCCGGCCAGCTCTATGATGACGCAGGAGAAAACGAACAAGAGTCTGTGTACCAAAACTACGCATCAACAGAGGATATCTACTGCAATCAAAATTACATTAGAGCCTTACAAGATGAACACCGTCTGTAGGCAATCTTACATTTTGGGGTAAACATTTATCCCAATGATTCCATCTGTGATCTGACCAACACATCTTTGGTTTTTAAATTTTATTTTACACTTGATTGCTCATTCTTTTATACCACAAACTGTTCAACTTACTTGCGATGCTTTTAAGATATTGTGGATCAGCTCAGTACCCTTCATGTAAGTTGTCACCTTTTGGGTTCACGTCTTGTTTTATTTTGTAGTTTCATGCCTCTGGTGCTCCTGGGTTAACTTCACTTCCTGCCTTGTCCTGTCATCCCTTGTGATTGTCTGCCGTGTCCATGATTGTTTCCACCTGTGTCAATCACCTGCACCTTCCCAGTGTATTTAAGCCATGAAAATCTTGAATGTTTACTCTGAACCTCGTCCCTGTGTCGTGTAGGTCCCTGTGCCCCGTCTACATTTTTCCGAGTCTTTGTTTTTTTCCCCCATGATGTTTGGGTTTTTGGATTTAATAAAGTAGTTTTCGTTTGAAACTCTGCATTTGAGTTTTGTCTACCCCGTTCGTGACAGAATGACGCGACCTAATAAGGACTCAGCAGAGTTTGGTCCACTCAACCTGTTCTGGGAAACCCCGTTTGGCCCAGGGCGGGCTGCGCCACATTCAACGGGCTACTCGGGGCTACTCGTCTCGGGTCCCGATCACCAGGTGCTGGATCACACTGGGAGCAGGTGTTAGGGATTTAAGCCAGAAGTGCACCCCTAGTCAGGAAATTATAATACGTGTAATAATGTTTAGTGTTAGAATTGTAGTTTATGATGTTAGATATTAGTTATTACAGTAACATGATAGATGAAGCGAATGCAATTGGAATCAAACACAATGTATAGTCATTTAAATCATATAATAACTGTACACATTAACATTCTGTCACAATGTGATGTTAAAACCTGGGGACGGATGCTAATTGCCGTCCTTTATGGATTTCTCCCAATTTTATCCCCAAAGAGGGTTTTTTGGGAGTTTTTCCTCCTGTCAGGTAGTAAATGAACAACTTAATGTAAGGCAGCCGACTGAGGCAAATGTCTTGAGAATTGGACCACATGAACTGTTTTAGATCTTATGATGAACTGTGATGAACGGTGATCATTAATGATGTGTTGTAATGAAGGTGTACTAATAAGATGAAGACAAACTATGCAGGCTTTGTTATATTCACTCATTGAGGCATAAAGCCAAATGTATCTACATTAAATGCATTGGAATGTGAGGGACAGATAGGACAGAGAGATTCAGGTTACAGCTGCAGCTTCACACCTCGACGTGAAGGGGACAGTCCAGGAGGGGACACTTTGAAGGAGAAGCCAATGACATTCAAATGCACCAAAGGAGTTTTCAAAGGACCAAAGCGGGGAAGGAACTGTTAGAATTTTCCTGAAGCCGCTTTGATAAGTCACTTTAGACTTGCTCAGAGGATTCTCTATTTCGTGAAATATTTTACTGTTCGTTTTGTATTTCACTTTGTAACTGTATTCCTTATAACGTTGTTTACTTATTAAATACTTTTAGATTTTTTGAATTTGGGCAAGCTGACTCTTTTGTATCTTTGTTTCCGGCCGGTATGAGAACAAAGGATTGAAGCCTCCCTCGAGAGCTTTCCGAACCCTAACACAGGTGATAGAGCTCGCTGCCCAATTCCAGGCTACCTACTCCCCCCACGCTGGGCCGCAGCGACTCACGCCATCGACTCCGGTCCCGGCTCCACAACTCACGCCCCTGCCGAGTTGTAAACTCCCATTATGGTTGTAATTATTCCATTGTTATCCTGTTTCATTTTGTGCTTTATTTGGCTGTTAAAAAAATCCCTTAATTGTAGATATCTGAAGTGGTCCTGGATATTTGGTGTGTATTTGCTTTTCAGCTCCTGGAAGCTTGCCATACTTCCATCTTTGATAACTGTTGATAATTGCTGTTATTCCATATGAGATCCATTGTTTAAACCTCTGATCAAGAATACCTGGAATTAAATGTGTATCGTAGGCTATCCATCGCAGGGGCCCGAGCTCCTCCTCTAATCGTTTTTTCCTTATTACTTTGAACCACAGCTCTAATGTAAATCTGTTCAAGTAGTTTTTTTTCATACTTCTGTCTCCAATAAGGCTTTGTATTTCCCTTCCTTCTACAGAAACTTGATTTTTCCACATTGCTTGATAATCATTGGTACACCAGAATATTATTGATGTAATTTGAGCTGCCAGGAAGTATGCCGGCATTATTAAGTGTTTATCTGTAAACTTTAATTACAAATCTATTATATTGACGTGACAGATTTGTTTCCAGTGAGATATCGATGAACATAATAAGTGACTCTTTACAAATAATATATTATTTTAAACTAGAAAAAGCATTTCCTGCTGAAAATGCGTTGGAATGCAAAAAGCTGAAAGCTGCACTGAATATTTGAAAATAGCTGAAAATACAGAAAGTTGAAGGGAATTTGAATACATTTGCTGAATATTTAAAAATAGCTGAAAATACAGAAAGTTGAAGGGAATTTGAGTACATTTGCTGAATATTTAAAAATAGCTGAAAATACAGAAAGTTGAAGGGAATTTGAATACATTTGCTGAATATTTAAAAATAGCTGAAAATACAGAAAGTTGAAGGGAATTTGAGTACATTTGCTGAATATTTAAAAATAGCTGAAAATACAGAAAGTTGTAGGGAATTTGAATACATTTGCTGAAATAAAAGATATTAGAAAAGCTGAAATTAATTTGAAATAGCTGAAAATACAGAAATGGGAGAAGCTGAAAGGAATTTCAATAGATTTGCTGAAAAAGCAGAAATGAAAACAGCTGAAATAAATGTGAAATATTGCAAAACAGAAGTTGCAGGAGCTTAAATGAATTTTAAAAAGTACAGAAATAACAAAAGCTGAGATGAATAAAAATAGGTTTAAAATTGTTTGTAGTAATGTTAGTTGTAATTTGGGTATTAGTACTAGCAGTAGAAGTCGGTTTTGTATCAATAGCAGTAGAAACAGCTGGAATACTGATACTATTATCCATAGTAGTATTTTTAATAACATTAGTAGTAGTTGTATTAATAGCAGTAGAAATACTAGTAGTATGGTAGTAGAAGTATCAGTTGTAGTTCTACTAGAAGTACTAGTAATATTCGTAGTGGTTATAGTAGTATTTGAAAGAGCAATGCGTATTTCAACGAAACCGCTTCATGGTTAAGGTACAGATAATCATTGAAGCTTTTAGTTTGTAATGATGGAATTGGGTGAGGGGGGTTGGGAAACAGAATGTTTGTTATTCAAACTAAGAAGTTTTTAATTAATAGGCCTCATCACAAACATTACAGTAAAAATTCCCTCCATGGGGCTTTTATTTTGAAATTATTGGATTGGGTGGGGTGGGGGGGTGTAGATAGAGGGAGGGAGGGTGAGAGGGTGAGGAAGGGAGGGGTGGTGAGGAAGAGATAGAGGGAGAGAGAGAGAGAGAGAGAGGAGAATTAGACAGACATACTGACTGAGAGTGATTAACAGTGAGAAGAGGTCAGGGTGGAGGGGGGAGGGGGGGCGAGTGTCTTTATCATATTGGTCTGTTGACAGAAAAAATAGCTGCGTCATGTGACTCCACTAATCAGTTCATAGAAGCAGCTGTGAGCCACAGACAGATCTTGCAGCATGTGAGTGCTCGTAACCACGACAACGACGCACCTGTGCGGCTGCAAAAGGGAGAGACATGGCAGCAAGTTACACAGAATCCACACCTCAAACAAATGAGAACCAGCGCAAAACTATAACAGCTATCTAAAAAATACGGCGTTTGTATGAGACCCAAGACTCTACCGAACGCGTGGATGTGTTTTTATGTCTGTCCGGTAATAAATACGGCTCCTATGGCCGTTGACAAAACGTGTACCTTGTGGATTTCTGTGAGAAATATGTCGGCAGATTTGTATTGGAGCCTATGGGGCTTTTGGCAGAGGTTGTGTCACTCAAACACTCCTTGCGCCAAAACTAAAGAACTCTGGGATTCCATGAACGCATTAATCCAATCAGCACAACCATACCCTCATTAATCTGAAGAAATGAAGCCTCTAGAGTGTATACTTTGGCTGCAAGGACAGAAGTTCCATATTTTTTTAACCAGATTCCTGCGATGCCCCACACTCTAGCCCTCGAGGTCTCCACTCTAGCAGACGCAATACACACTCATGTAAAAGTCAGAAACGGAGCGAAGAACTAGTGAAACATAATCAGTGATTATGAAAAAAGTACAATAGATATCAAGAAGCAGTTTTTTTCATAAAATAGTTAAGACTTGTGTCAACATTTAAAAGTTTAAATGGTGTCTGTAGCTGAAAGATTTGCAAAGCTGAAAAATCTGAAAGTTGAAGAAGTTTAGGAGGATTTGAAAGCAAACTCCATTTGAAAACCATGTTAAAATATTAATGATTATTGATTTATATAAATTCAAGCTTAAGAGGTAGAAAGCTGAAAAGTCATAGCCCTCAAGCCAGAAAGGAGCTGAACATTTTAATATTTGAACGGTTTTAATAGCTGAAAGTGTGAAGGAGTTGAAAGGTGCCGCGGAAGAAATAGAAGAAGTTGAACTAGAAAAGGCATTTCCTGCTGAAAATGCGTTGGAATGCAAAAAGCTGAAAGCTGCACTGAATATTTAAAAATAGCTGAAAATACAGAAAGTTGAAGGGAATTTGAATAAATTTGCTGAAATGAAAGATATTTGAAAAGCTGAAATTAATTTGAAATTTCTGAAAATACAGAAATGGGAGAAGCTGAAAGGAATTTCAATAGATTTGCTGAAAAAGCAGAAATGAAAACAGCTGAAATAAATGTGAAATCTTGCAAAAAATAGCTAAAATGAATTTCAAAAACGGCTGAAAATATAGAAATCCGAAAATGTACCAACAAGCCGAAAAACTGAAATGAATTTAAAAAATGCTCATGATATAGAAATGACAATGTACCAGCAAGGTCAAAGATTAAATTAAGTTCTATTTCTGAAAATATTGAAATTTCCAATGGCTTTGCTGAATAAGTGTTAATGCCAAAAAGTGAAGACCAGCACAGCAGGAAAACATAATATTTTAATTTCAAAATTGGCAGTGTGGAAGATGAAGTGCAGCATTTAACAAAGCTAAGAGTTGAAATACAACACAAAAGAAGATCCCGTCTTTACATTCTTTTTTGACTCATTATCTTCTATCGAAATATAATAAAATAATATAGATGAGTACAGTGCACAAGTACTGTTGTATTGGTCATAATTATTTTGAGTATTTTGTGAAAGATAACATCTTAGAGTGAGAAATGTATCAACACAGTTTTGTGAACATTGATCCCTGTGTTATTCATGAATACATTTACTATAGTTTCAATAGTTAACAATATGGTTCATTTCCTACAATCAAAGGTTTTTCACATCGTTTCCAGACTTAGGTTAATACTCAGTTCAAGACTTCAAGGTCCAGGAGCCCTGGACAGATAAGTCTTGTCAACATTG